CTTATGCTTTCAATCGTCCCCAAAATTTTAAAAGGGAATGAAACCCTCGCTCAATCACAAAAGTTAAAACATCCATTACTCCAACCAATGCACATTATAGTAGGGATGAGACCACCATCCAAATCGAGATGGAGATCAATGGGTTAGATATCAACAACTAGGAATTCAAGAGTCAATGCAATGTAGCGAGAAGAAAGTTGGTGATTCACAGGCGAAGCTCGATTTGTACAACAACGGTGTTTGATACTTTCAGGTAACATGCCTCTTTAAAGTAGGTTTAAACATATATTTTCGTTTTATGTATGAACTCCATATATTAAGGAAATATACGCTAGAATTAAAAATAAAACAACTGTTTTTATGGTTAAACAGGCATGGAGTTTTAGGTGAAATTTGTATGAAGTTGAACATATTTGTAACTACTCAGGTACAATCTTTTCATTTTCAACTCGAATTTCTAAGGCACCCAATTTGTGGCTTGATTCATTGGAGATGTGTGGATCTTAAGCACATATCAAATTTGTTTATTAATTACTAATCACTATAGATTAAATATGAATAACTTAGTGATAATTAGGGGAAATGAGTAATCTGACCATAATGTAAGGTGGATTTTTAAAAAAATTAACCAAAACTTTTTATTTTTGGAAAATAACCATCAAGTTCGGAATGGAGATTCCAGACCGAAGAAAAAAAGTTTACAAAAAATGCATTATAGACTAACAATCTGGATTGTGGACAGAAATATAAGAGTTTGTAAAAATTACTCTGAAATTTCAAGAACAAACTCGAAATATGATAAATAATTTTGGAATTTCAAAAAATAAGTTGTTTTGTTCTAAAATCTAACAAAATATTAAACTAACATAAATGTAACTTAAGCATTTGGAGCATTTGGAATTCAATAGAGTACTTGAGTGAACGTGTTATATCAACTTAGTATAATAATTATTATTTAGAAGTCAAAACAACACCATTATATTAAAAAACATTTATTTGAAAATATTTCAGTTTATAATTGTATTATGCACATGTAAAGTCCACGTTTCGCACTAACACATTAATATACATGTAGCTGATGTCGGTCAACGATTGTAATCTTTTATAAATAAATAAAAGAAATTTGTTTGAATATATGTGATTTATGTGTGTATATTATATTAGGTGAAAATTTAATAAATATGGAAAAACTAAATATTAAAATAAATATTAATTAGGATAAATAGCTTTGATGAACATTAAAGTAGTCATGAAGATGATTTCGAAGATATAAGGAACGCTTAAATCTAACTTCATATGAAAAAAATGTAACATCCCAAGTTTTGTCATTTGAAGTCCCTAGGGATGAAAGGGTAAATCCATGAAGAGCCTAAGGGCTAATTTTAATTTTAGGACCATGAGGAGTGCGTCGCGCGTACGTAAGGGTACGTAGGGCGTACTAGGGTGCGCCCTAGTACGTTGGGCGTACAATGTGTACGCTGGGCACGCTGGCCATACACTGTGTACGTTGGGTGTACTCATTAATGAAGGAAACCCCAATATCTCGAGTTAGGGACTGTATAAACATCCTTATGGTTCTTTTTCTCTCATCATTCCCAGCCTCCATATTCCAGAAGCGTTCCTAAACCCTGGTCCTTGTTTGAGAGTGTGAATTGGTGGGTATTTTGAGCTCTTGAAGGTGGAGTCATTGCATCAAGGAGTTGGAAAAGAAGTTTGGCTTGTAGATCTAAAGTTGTGTTGTACCCTAGAAGCTCCAGAAGGTAAAAAGCTTCAATATTTATATTTGTATAGCATAGATCTAGCCATTCTAGCATTTTGGAATCATTTCTTGTGCCAAAAGTTCCACAATAATGTGTGTTGTGTTTTGGGCGAAATGATCTATTCTTCTAGACTCTTGGAGGGGTGTTGAGTGTTAAAAATGAGGTCCCAATGGCTTAGAAGGTCCCATGCAAATAGTAAAAAGGTCTTAATGGCTTAAGACCTTTGATGAAGAACTTTCTGGACATCCAAAGTGTTAAAGTTCGAGACTTTATGAGTAATAGGCATATTTGGTTGATGGATCTGAATTTTGGAATTAAGTGCTTAAGCCATTAAGCACTTATGAGGATTTTTGTTAAGTTCGCGTATGCCCCGTGTAGTAAGCTGTACGCCCAGCGTACAGGGTTAACGGCCCCACTTTTCAATCAACATGAGTTGAGGTACTCCCCGCGTACCAGAGGAGTACGCCCAGCGTACATCCTCTGATTGGGCTTTGAGTTTTGGAGTGTTTATGGGCTAGCAGGACTTGGGCCTTTGCTGGTCATTATGGAAATGGTGTTTTGGGCCAAGTCTTGGTAATGGATCTTGATTTAGGCCTAATTAGTTAGTGGGCCCAACTTGGAAAGTTAGGCCAATAATGGGCCTTGTTATATGGACTAATGGGTCATGGGTTTGGTTTTGGGCCAAGACCCAAATTAAGAGGGAAGGCAATTTGGGCTATTGTTATAAGGGATTCTTGGTAAAAATTTATATTCCCATTTATTGACTCATTATTTGCTATTTTGGATAGTTCGGAATTATCGGTGAGACGGTGGTTCTTGAATCTGCTTCTTAAGTTCAGATCGACATTTCGAGGTGAGTTATCATCAGTATATCAACAGGGTCTAAGGCACAAAGACTGGACCTTTCTCGAACTGTATACTGGTTTTGTTTGATATGCTTATTAGTCTATTAGATCTGCAACCCGGTAGTGAGGATGGTATGTTGTCAGTGACCGGTTAAGTCGGTATCCTGGTTAGAATGTTGCTATGCTATATGATCTGTTAGATCGGTTCATTTTGTCTATGGATTATTAAGTGATTATCTATTATATTATTGCACATGGTTGTTTGTTTGGGGTTGGGTTGAGGCGGGTGCTGCTTTGCGCTGTAGGCCAACATACCCAGGGCGGACCAGATAGACTGCAGACCCGGAAGGGGCACATAGTCAGGCCGAAGATCCAGCGAGCGTTCCAGATAGGATGAAGGCCCGAGAGGGCAGTCCAAACATGCCGAGGATCGGAGAGTGGAATAGACATACTGAAGGCCCGGTGCGGGCAGTCCAGTTATACTGTAGACTCTGGGAGTGGACCAGGTGGACTGAAGGCTCGATGCGGGCGGACCAGCCACACTACAGACTCGAGATGCATGGTTGTTCTGTATTTTTCTATATGATATGGTTATGATATTGTTGAGGTTGGTATTTTGGGGGTAACTCACTAAGCTTTTGGGTTTATATTTTCAGTTTATTGTTTCAGGTTCAGTGGATGATAGCAGGAAGGCAAAGGCGTGATCGTACACCTCCTCGATTGATGATTATGATTACTGGGAACTCTGATGTTTAAACTATTTTGAAAACAAATTGTAAAAATTGAATGCTTTTATATGAATTAAAAAGTTTTAAATTGGTTCGAATTTTATGGATGTTACAAAAGAATTATGATTCGTCGAAATTTCGCGTTCAACGCAATACGACATCAAGTATCGTAAAAACTGAAACGGATATGGATCGCTTATTAGCCTAAGTAATTTAAACAAAAGTCGTAGTTAACATAAAAGCAAACTGGTACATATAGAGAACATCTAAATCTAAATTTGTATGAAAAAGTAATGATTTTTCAAAGTTTCAGCAGCACAGTGTACGACACAGAAACCAAAATGGAGATCGGTCGATTGTTAGGCAAAACAATCTAAATAAGAATCGAAGATCTCGTGAATAGGAATTTATCAATATAAAGACAGCCAAGTCATTAAATCTAGTAGTATAGGTGGTCACATCATATCCCATCATGGTATGGTTCCAAAGCTCTTGCTCTAATTTATGAATTTTGCTTCTTGGGCATTACTCCTCCAGCATCACGACCTTCAGCTCTTCCCAACTCATAGAGTTGTCCACGACGAGATTTAGGGTTTTAACATGGACATTCAACCAGGATAATGCTGACTCAACCAAAGTACAAGCTGCGTACGTGACTTTACTTTCATCTGGGCATAAACAGACTTCAAACACTGACTCGGTTTTCTCAAACCATCTCGTTAACGTGATGACACTGTCGTCGCCATGAAAAGTATTGGGCTTGAAGTTCATAAAATCCTTGTAGGAGCATACTCATTGGTGTCCTTGGCTTTCGCCCTGATTGGAACTGTTAGCACCGCTCATGTTTCTGTTCCAGTTTCCGTTTCTGTTTCCACTCATGCACTTAGCGCTAATTTGTGCCATGGCGGTTGCTACTACAGCTGCCACAGAGGCTTGGAACATAGCGGGGTCCACCTGTAGAGTTGTTGTTGGTGGAACCGGTGGTGTTCTGCCAACACATCGGTTACTTCTGTGTGGTGGCATTCTTCTGCCATAGGGATTAGAGATGGTATGATGGTAAGTCCTCGATAATAGTTATAAATCGAGTATTTATTGAAATAGAACATCTCAACTATATGTTTTTTATGACTTGCTTTTATTGCAACATGTAAACATTTCAATAAATAATATATATATATATATATATATATATATATATATATATATATATATATATATATACTATAATAAGTAAATAATTGCATAACAATTTATGAACATAATAGTAATATCCAATGAAATAAAATGCAAACCATTTCATTGATAATGTTTCATAGTAGTACATAGTTTTGGAAAATTGACCTTCATGCAGGTCTGTAATACACCTGAACCCAAAATAAGATCGGCAGCATAATGACCCTAAGAATAGTGTAATCACTTATTCCCAGGGTCGGACCTACATACATGAGGGAGTATCACTAACGCTTACTCACAAAGCATAGTCTATAACATAAAGTTGAGTAGCATGAACATTACTCATGGCGAGTGACATCCTACGACCCTCGAAGTGTGGCTATGAATGCTCGCATATCCCTTGCTTCCTATCTGGCCTCCTCGACTCGACGCTCTGCCTCAATCACCCTCTACTCCATGACGGCGTCCCTATCTATGAGCTCTCTAACCTCGACTCAGGCAGTTGTGACATCCTCCTGAAGAAAATCGATGATCATGCGTGTCTGATCATGATCTTCATCTATACGAAGAAACCGGGTGGTGGTGACCTTAGCAGTGGTACCAACATCTAGGATCTGGCTGGTGGACGCCCTAGCATGCTCTTCAAGGTGCAAAAATGCAGTGAATCATAATAGGGAGAGCCCTGTTGGTTGAACCGCCGTTGCGGAGGTCATAGAACTCTTGGAACATATTGTACGAGGAATGTTGGCCATGCTCGCGGCTCCATCTGTGTAGGTCCCTAGAGTGGTAAACCTATCAAAAAAATCTTGGGTCTACGAAAGAGAGGTATCCTCTTACAAGGAGTGTGCATACATAATGAACCACCTGGATGGCAGTATACATGAAAGCTCGGCTCGGGCATAGGGTCGTACAGATTGCAGACGGAAAATCGTGCGTTGCTGACCTCAGATTCAACATTGGAGTCCTCCTCCATCAGGTCCTCATCATCATCTTGACCCTCTTTCGGATCCTGCTCAGTGGCTGGTGCATCAGCCTTCGCCTGCTTCTTGGGCACCTCCTCAATCCATCCACTATTCCCATTGTTGTTAAAGTAAGGGAATTCGGGTAGGTGAAATATGGTCATGTCGACTGTGCAAGAATAGAGGTATAAGAGGCATGTAAAGAGTCTAGTTGTACGGTTCTATAGTATCATAAAACACTCATATAGTACTTTTAAACTTTATGGTTGGTTCTAGAGTTCCTTTGTATGGGGTGTAGGTAAGTTTTAGACTTGTTGTTCACCATAACTATTCCCAAACACATGTTAGTCACATATTGGATGAATATAGTTGATTAGGCTATATCCATCCTAGATGTCATTACATAACTACCGAGGCCTACTCGTATTGTTTAACTTATCTTATTAGTTTTGTATTGTTCTTATTATGACACCATTCTAGTATGTAAGTATGTACTTATACTTTATTGAAAATATCATTTTATTTTAAAGGTATACTTGTACGAAATGTTTTAGTCAGAGATTTTTAGTCTCATTGTATTTATAGTTGTATATCTTACATGGTTTGATATATTTAATTCAATATAAACAATGCTCTAATATCAATTTATCACACCCCCAAACCAAGATGGTGGATACATCTGGGGTGGATGACTTTCATGAATAGTATCACAACATGATGTACAATAGTAATCAAAGCAAACACAACCATCATAAATATAACTGAGAGATGTTATGTGACATCCCCAAAATCACGGCCAGAAAAGACCGGTTTGTTTATGCTTTGTTTAAAAATCGGAGTAACATTTTAAATAAAAGTGTTGCGGAATTTGTCCCAAAACAAAATATGATAAAGATTTATCAAAAGCATTTCCATAGAAATGTATTTCATTAAAAGACTTGGGATGTCATGTTCGTACAGATCAAAAGCATAAACAGTACAATATAAGCCTTACTACATTATTTCATATCTTCAGGCCTATATCCGTAATCCCTCGTCCAAACATCATATCTATGCTCAAGCGCCACTACCTGTAATACATAAAACTGAGTGGGTCAAGCTTGGGAGCCTGGTGAGCACATAGGGTTTTAAACCCACAATAAATAAGTTTATTAACTTCATTAAATTAAACAAACCCGATTACCCGTTCCCGTTATCCTCACATTACGTCCCTAAGCATCTATCATAAGGGACCTATCCTAAGGATTATCATCAGGACGGACACTACTGCTAAGGGGATTCCTCAGCAATAAATGTCCTTAAGGCAACCATGTGGGGGATGGAGTACATCTGGTGAGCACACAGTTTAAATAAACACACAGTTTGTGACAACCGTCATTTTCGGGTCAATTTGTGACAATCGTCAATCTTGAGTCAAGTCAAGTCATCAAGTCAAGCCGGTCAACTCTATTAAACCTTGTGTATTAGGGTTAGTGTTATGTTCGCATTTGTATGAGTGTAGTCGATGAATCGATAAAGCAAGAACATATGAGTTTTGATTCGCATTTGGATTGATGATTGAGGGATGATTCGTGAAGAAAAACGCGAAGTCAAGGACTATGAAATTGTTGGTTGCAAGAATTTAAAAACTCGATTGTGGAGTTGTTGATGCTCATTTTGCGAAAGTAAAACAATCGAGTGTTCGCATCTATGAATCAATTTGAAGTCAATTGGGTTAATATTCGCATATGGGTTCAACATATGAAAATTTTGATTTCGCAAGTTAGAGTCAAGAACTAAACTGTGTTCGCATCTGGAATGAAAAATTTTGTGAATCGCATTTGATTAATTAGGTTAAAATGCGAAGGGATGCGAAGGGTGTAAGAATGAAAATGCGAAGGTGATTAATGCGAAGGGATGCGAAGGGTGTAAGAATGAAAATGCGAAGGTGATTAATGCGAAGGGATGCGAAGGGTGTAAGAATGAAAATGCGAAGGTGATTAATGCGAAGGGATGCGAAGGGTGTAAGAATGAAAATGCGAAGGTGATTAATGCGAAGGGATGCGAAGGGTGTAAGAATGAAAATGCGAAGGTGATTAATGCGAAGGGATGCGAAGGGTGTAAGAATGAAGATGCGAAGTATTTCACAGTAGAATGCGAATTGGGGAAGAAAACAGAAGATTTCAAATATTGTCCCTGGAGTTTCGCATTTTTGGAAATAAATACTCAACTTCGCAAATGGGGGTCATAAAATGATGAAATTGCAGAATTTTAAAGAGATACACACACATAGACAACCACACATATATTTAGAAAATTAAACTAAAAATGGGATATAGACAATTATAAGACATCGTTCTTGACTTTTGAGTCCAAAGACGTATGATCCGAACTTTAATTGTGAAATCGTCCTTGATTGAGTCAATTTCCTTTATAGGAGTAATATATTCCATTGTGCCCTGCAAGTTAAAAAAATAAAAAAAAAATAAAAAAATCAAAGTCACAATCAACCACCCCACACCCACTCTATGACCAGCCATACCTCCCCACCTTACCTATGTCACTTCAATGTTCCCTTACACTCAAATTTCACTCACCCCACGTTTTTGAGCTGGAACAATCAACCACACTCCTCATTTTCTCTCATTTCTCTCGTTCCACTAAGTAACAAACATCACTTTTTCTCTCAAACTCTTCTACACAAATTTTCGAGATCCAAGGCTGGATTCAAGTGTTCTTCCACACTTAGTAAGTAAAAATTCATCCTCCCTATTATTATTTCACTTCATTCTACTCAAATCTTTGGTTGCTTACACAAACTCCCTAACTATGATGTTAGATTCTCGAAAACCTTCAAGGCATCTCCAAGTGTTCTTGAATTAAACACTTCCATTCTTCAACAATCATCTACTGAAATCACTCAAGGTGAGTTCATACCCCTACATTTTCATGTTTTCTCAAGTTTTCAGGGGGGAATACAAGTTAAAACACTAAGAACATAACTAGATTTTTCTAACAGCCTTCATCAGAAAAGTTCAACTCCATTCACGGACTGTTTTGGGCATCTTAAACATTTTTGTTTTCAAAACTGTACAAGGTGCAAATAGTTTAAGTTTTTAGCTTTAAAATGACTACTTGCACATCTCCATACGATTTTTCTACAATTTATGGTAATTTTTACAAAACTGCCTATCATTTCAAACAACAATCCGGACCAGTCTGTGATTTTGGACTTTTTCACCCAAGTTAGAGGTCATTATAAATTGTGATAAAAATTATGAGCAAACTAGACACATTTTGTGAACTCTCAGAATTTACGGATCTAGTTTTCGACTTCGTATGATTTTTCTATGATTTTTCCAAAACAGGGCAGAATTGCTAAATTTTACCAACAACATGTAAATATCATAACACTTTGTATTATGTTGAGCAAAGTGTATAATCATAAGTTTTAATGTTTGAATGTGTTTCCTAGTTAGTTTATCATTATGAACTGAAACTAAGACATTCATATTAAATATTATCCATTCATTTTGGAACACGTATTATTTAACTATAAAAAGTATAGTTTGAATATATTTATAACACTAATACATTTCCATAAAAGGGTTCATACATATTATACGCATTTTAGATAAACTATAATAGGTATAGTTTATGATACATCACTCTACGCACTCGTACCAAAAGTGTACATTCATATAAGAAAGATTTCTATTCGCACACATTTCACGTAAGTTAATCTATGGTTTGATAAATTCACAACACTAATACATTTCCATAAAAGGATTCATACATATTACATACATTTTAGATAAACTATAATAGGTATAGTTTATGATACATCACTCTACGCACTCGTACAAAAAGGGTACATTCATACAAGAAAGATTTATATTCACACACATTTCAAGTAAACTTGTTATCCTATATTGTGAGTTTCTCTATTTTTCTCTCTCTCTCTCTCTCTCCCCGTACGTCCGAGTGCGGGATATAATTCCTGGTAGTTATAATCAGAATCTCCTTGAGGGAGAACGTGATACTTGTATATAGATCTATATTGGGATTGACACCCCACACCTTGCTGCTAGCTACAGTTGGACCTGCAGGTCTACGGGTGACAAATGTCATTTCATTTTTCGCGACACTGAGAACGTCGTGGCAGGTTCACATAGTCATAGTATGATTATAACGGCTCACATAGGGAACAATCCATAAGTTTACGGGATTTTATTTTTAAAACCTAAATGAGTTTTATGTCGATTTAAAATCACCTTTTATCTCTATGGGTACAAATACGAAGTACCGGGTCTCTATACAAAGCTATTATGATATTAAAACTACACATCCTCTAAAATTGTTAGACTTCAACTATAGTCGCTGAGCGTATATGTTGAGTCATATAAGAATTTAGTCTTGATTGGCCTAGAATTGGTGGTGCCCGCCTCATCTCCTGTTCCTCGTTGGGTTGTGGACCTAGGGCAGACCCACTATATTCAACGTTTTATCTAAGTTAAGTCTTATATAACTTTATATGTTGGACGATTATAGAGGAACTCTACGGATTACTCTAGGGTTCATTACAGCATCATGTAGGATTATTTCTATTCATACTTAACTAAGAAAATATTGGATTTTCTGGAAATCAAACTAAATCGATTTTACAAGGAAAAACGGTTTCTACTTCAAACAAAACTCTTATGAACTCACCAACCTTTGTGTTGACACTCTTTAAAACTACTTGTATTCTCAGGAAATCAGTGAAACAGGAAAACTTCATCGCTTTGAGGATGGGACGCTAAACCGTCAAAATTTATTTTGTCATCATAATGTAATTGCTTTTGAAACATGTAAACATATACTTTGGTGTAACTTTTGCAATTATATTTATGGTGGTTGTTTTTACTTTGAGCACTATTATACACGTTGTTGTGATACTGTACATGAAGTCCTCCACCCCCAGACGTTTCCGCCATCCTTGGTTTGGGGTGTGACAGATTGGTATCAGAGCATTGTTTATAGTGAACTAAGTATA